TAGATTTAAGAAAGAAGTTCTTTACAATGAGGGTGGTGAGGCCCTGGCCCAGGTTGCCCAGAGAAGCTGTGGATGCCCCATCCCTGCAAGTGTTCAAGGCCAGGTTGGACGGGGCTTTGAGCAACCTGGTCTGGTGGAAGGGGTCGTCCCTGCCCACGGCAGGGGTTTGGAATGAGATGATCTGTAAGGTCCCTTCCAACCATTTATGGTCCCCTTTCCAACCTTTTTAATCACAACCAGTTATGTGATTCTCTCATTCTATGATCAGCAACAGATGACCCTCCTTCCCCCACAGAGGGGGGTTTGGTACGATCACGGCCATAAGCTGTTGCCCCACCATGAATATGTCCAACACAGCGATCGCTACCTGCAGTACCCCAGCGTAGGGTCACTCGTCCCAAGCAACCTAGCAATGGGGACAGTAGCACAGCAACCAGAGAAAACAGCCTCTCAGCCCCCACCAAGCAGCAAATGGGGTGCACCTCCGATGTCCCTCCTGGAAAGGGCCCCCCGGGACCCCCCCCCAGACCCCCTTGGTCCCACCAAGGAGCGACGCGCCAGCCACCCTACCTGTAGGGTGTGAGGATGTTGAGCGGCGGAGGCTTGTCACAGCGCTGGTACATCTCCATCACGGGGTTGGGGATGGAGTTGCGAGACACGACCTGCTGGTTCTGCACCGTGGAGCTCTTGAAGGCTTTCCGCATGTTGATGTCCTGCAGCGAAACTGGGGGTGCGGGAAGAAAACGGGATGTAGGGGTGACCTCAGCACGCCAAACCGGGCACGGTTGGTGGTCCGGCCCCAGGCATGTGTCTCCCACCCGCTTGCACCCAGCCGTCACCCCAAAATACCCCCAGGTCCTCACCTTCCTCCACGGTGGAGTCCAGCTGTGTCACCTTGATGACCAGCAGGTCCACCCTCTCCTGCAGCGAGTTCATCCGCATGTAGAAGCTGTTTGCTTCATTGAACAGCTCACCGAAGATGTCCTCCGCGTGCCTGCCTGGCAGAGGACAACGCGTGCCCGTCACGGGCAAGGGTGGCAGGCAGGCAGCCCTCTCCCAGCCCCTCGCCCAGACCGCACGTCTCCCCGCCGGCTCTGTGGGACTCTCGCCCCAACCATTGGGTTTCTGGGAGCTGACCCTCATCCTCTCCCCTCAACCACTGGTTTTTTGGAAGCTGAGCCTCATCCTCTCCCCGACCTGGCACAAAAGGAGGGGAGCACAAACCATCCACCCTTCTCCTGCCCCGTCCTCTGAGCATCCTTTTCCGTGAGAGTGGTACCCGCGGGAGGCACTGAACCATGGCAGGCTGTGCCCCAAAAGCTTTTCTGTCTTACTGGGAGCAGACGCAGCCAAAAAACCACCATCGGACCCCATGATCTGTGGGGACCCCCCCGAAGGTGGAAAATTGAGAACGGGGCAGCGGGGAGAGCGCTGCACCAGGGAGAAGCCACAATTTGTTTCACTTTCGCAGTTCTTTTCCTGCAGCGCATCGCCGTGCTTAGCTCTTCATTATTTATTATTATCACAGGTCTGAGCGCAGTGCCTGGCAGAGCATCGCTGGCTACAGCACCCATCCCGCCCCAGCACCCATCCCGTCTCAGCACCCCAGCTCCTCAGGGTTTCCTCCAACCCCACGTACCAAACGGCTCCCGAGATCAAGGCACTTTTGATATCTGCTCGGCTTCTCACCCGGCTCGGCCATTTGTATTTGATTTCTTTTTCCCCTGGCTGAGGCAGCCATGGGCTGAGCACCCGTTCTGCTCACACCGGCTGCTTCCAGCAGCTCCCTAAAGACAGTTTTGTTTTGTTTTGTTTTGATCTGGGAGTAATTTAGAGAAGAATCTGGTTCTGGAGAGGTAAAAAAGAGGGGGAGCTCTGAAGAGCCCGTGCTTCTCTCTCTATTTTAATTCGATATTCAGCAGTGAAACAGGTTGCCCCCATTAAACCTTCACGCTGGCGTGTGCAATGCTCTCATCCTCCCCTTTTCTGCTGAACTCAGTCCCCAGGTAGGAAGACAGCCGAGGATTTAGACCTTTCATATAGACCTCTCTTCCAAATAAATCTTAGGGGGAGCTCTGAAGAGCCCGTGCTTCTCTCTCTATTTTAATTCGATATTCAGCAGTGAAACAGGTTGCCCCCATTAAACCTTCACGCTGGCGTGTGCAATGCTCTCATCCTCCCCTTTTCTGCTGAACTCAGTCCCCAGGTAGGAAGACAGCCGAGGATTTAGACCTTTCATATAGACCTCTCTTCCAAATAAATCTTTAAGACTAAAAAGAACAGGTCGGGTTTTTTTTCATCTTTGCCCGACCTTCCTGTTTCTGGCCAAGTCGAGAAGCAAGGGGCTCGCGAAGGCTTTCCGTGCCCCACCGTGCAGACCAGCTACGGGAGGAAAACAGGTCTCAAAAATGTCACCAAGTCCCCACTTTGAGCTTGGCCCTGAGCACCCCTCCTTTTTTTTTTATTAGCTGGATAATTCCCAT